ATAGTGAATAGGTATCTAATTTTCAATGCTTCATTTTTAATATATAATTAATTATAAAATTTCATAATTAGATAATATATGAAAATACATAATTCTAATATAATGCAACTAATATATACCGAATAAAAAAATTAAAATACATTTATCTTTGTACGCTGTGTGTATTTCCATAAAATAGTTTATTGATGTTGACAAAATAATACTACGTTATATTGTAGTGAGCGGCGCGCCGGTCAAATGCTCAAGGCCGTTCGCATGGAGCACCATCCACCGGTAATGGCTGAACCATAGAATTATTAATTAAAATATTATTTGCGTAATAATTCTATGGGCAGAACAACCTCTGCCGGGCCAACTAGTTATCAATATTATAATAGTACCTATCTACTTTTCCCTTTGATCTACAATTTACAAATTAAAGACTTTTCCCTTAAATTATAGTAGTAGAAAAGTAAATATAAAGCTGAACGCACATTTGTCCGCGCCGTACGCGCCGCCCGCGCCGTACGCGCCGAGTTTTACTGATGGCCTCGCACATTTGCCCGTACGCATCGACCGCGCCGTACGCAAATCTTTTATATTACCAACAACTTTTGTAATTTTTTCCAACCACTGGTGTGAAACGGTACAGTTTGGTCGCTCGAAATCACTATGGAAAGCAATTTAGTAATAGCCTGCTTATTGGCAGAGGAAGAAGAAAATAAAATTCGAAGAAAAAGAAGATTCTGGATTGATAATATTAATTTAAAAAGGCAATTGTATTTAGAATATGAAGGGGATATACTTTATTTAAAGACTTATTAGATGATGATAAATGATTTTTTTAGATATTTGCATTCAACATAAAAGACATTTCAAGAAATGCTACATATACTAAAACCATATCTTTCTATGGAAAACTCAAGATTTAGAAAGCCAATTGAACCAGAAAAAAAAGACTCTTTTTTATTGATAATGAAGTAATCAGGTATAATTGAGTTTTTGAATTAAATTTAACTATTTTTTGTTACTTCAGTATTTAAATAATTTATCGCTAAGAATACATATTGATAATCGATGCAAAAAAATCAAATTATGTATAATTAATGAATTAAAAGTTATTAAAATACAAAAATTATCATGTAAGTCGAAACCACCAGTTATAGTGGAAAATCCACTAAGTTGGCAACATTAGACAACACTGAGTATCAGCACGCGCCGAACGCGCCGCGTTATATGACGTCATCAGCATTCGTCCTTCGATATCGTATACCTACCGCATTTTATAAAATTCGGCGCGTACGGTGCGGCTGTAATGTGCGAGGTTTCATATGATTTCATACAACGAATTCTAAAATTCGGCGCGTACGGCGCGTACGGCGCGTGCGGCGCGGACAAATGTGCGTTCAGCTTTAAAGTAATTGAAATAGAAAGCGCTTGAATACGCTATTATTGGTTTGTAGCATAGATAAATATATATGTAGCAAGCTTTGTGGAGCTTGAAGCGCTTCCAAATGGATGCCATACACGATCAAGTTTACCGTCAAGTTTGCAGCGCGCTTGAAGCGGCGTCAAGTTTGCAGTGCATCCATATAAGGTCAGGCGGGGCAAGGGCGCCATATTTTTTGCATAGATGATTTCGATGCAAAATATTTTTTTTGAATGCTGACTTATGAGAGAACATTTATTAAATTGTCAATATTTGGAATTTTGTAGCTGCAAGAAACGTCGATTCAATCAAATCAATCAATATTTTTACGGTATTTTCTATTAAATTAGAAAACATGGATATAGGCGCACTTGCCCTTAGAAACGGGGAAAGTGCGCCTATATAAAAAAAGACGCTAAAATCGTACGTTACCAGAAAAACAGATAATTTACTTAATAGAACATAAACAAATAAACGCATTACTCTTGGCTTCTTTTTAATTTACTCGTCCTATAGGCTACGACAGCTTCCATAACATATTTGGGGCAAGTGCGCCGTAGACTAGTAATCAGGGGCACTAAACCTTTAATGCTCTTTTTTTTTATAAAAAGTAAAAACTGCTGTATTTAAATAAAAATGTCTGCAGGTTTGGCTGGAATAATAGAGATATTTAATTAATCAAATTAGACTTTTAATTTAAGCATTATGTCTATTTATTAAAAAAAAATACAAAAGTAGGTAACAATTTTTCCTTTGACGTAATAGGAAGAAGCAAATACTTAGTAATCTAGTGGATGGCACGCAAGAACTTACATACATAATACATAAACACTCACGCCTGTCACCCAGAGGGGTAGGCAGAGACTACGGACTTCCATTTGGCGCGATCCTGACACACCTCTCTCGCCTCTTTTACATCCATATATCTACGCATACACGCTCGTCGGTTAAGGGTACTCCTAATCTGGCCCATTTTTAATGTATCGCCGATTTGGTCGATAAACCTTCGTCTAGGGCGTCCCTTCTCGACCCTGCCGTTCACTTCCGCAACATAAATTTGCTTTGTCACTCTTTCCTCGTTCATTCTTTCTACATGACCAAACCACCGAAGCATTCCTTTCTTAATCCTTGTCACAACGTCATCTTGCAAACCACACTTTTCTCTTATCACACTATTTCTCACCCTGTCATTCAGATTCAGCCCTAGCATACTCCTTAAGGAACGCATTTCTACAGCATTTATTCTACTCTCATGCTTCTTCTGCCAGACCCAACTTTCACTACCATACATTAAAGTAGGGACTAACACAGCATTATGAATTGCCATACGTGCCTTAGTTGACACATTCTGACTCCTCATAATAGCGTGTAGAGCCCCATTCACTCTATTTCCTGCGTTCACTCGTCGTTCTATATCCTTATCATATCTACCATCCCTGCTAAATAAACATCCCAAATATACAAACTCATCCACTTGCTCAATAGTAGTGTAGTTGTACCACTTCTAGACCACCTGAGTCAGACGTGGTTCAACGACGTTCGTCGACACCGATCAAAAAAAAAGGTTTTGGCATGCTCTGATCACGAATCCGCGGTCCATTTTTGTGTAGAATGCACGGTTCCAGAGATGTGTAGATCAATTAGCTAATATCTAATTGATATCCGGTAAGGGCCTCCACCGTCATTAGCGTCCCATTGTTCCTATTTCTATTGTTCTATTGTTCATTAATCACCTTCATTGCAGCGTGTGCGTCGACTATATCAGTGCTATTGTATTCTTTGTTCCTAATTATACAACGCTAATCTGAATCATCAATAAAACACATTACATAATTTTGTTACAATTTTTATTTATAAAATACAAAATCTTATTAATTATTATCTATAAAATAGGACCGAAACATCTCATCCACTAAAATATCGTTGTACAATGTGTTCCTTGTAAATATACTCGTAAAACTATGTATTGAACATCCTTGAAATTTATATAGCAAATACATTAAGCAATATTCGCCACAAACTGAAGTCCACTCATTCTGAATCCTATCAACATTCCAGTTCCATCTTTTACAATTCCTTTTTAAAAACTCTAGATGATATCGTACAGGTGATCGTCCATATGAATCAAAATATTGACCGACGTCATTCGTATCGATATATAAAGCTACCCAATGTGACCCTGGTTTATCATCTGTATCCAAATTACATATTATATACGTTGGTACGTGGGTATACATAGGCAGTCTATTAGCTGCATAAACATTATTTTCTAGACTGGGGTGAATCTTTTTCAGATGTTGTTGTACATCTAGTGTATCCATGATATTACTGCTATTAGTAGATTATTACAGTACCTAGCTACTCAATGAATAACATAGGAATGGTCAATTATAGTGATTTCTACATATTAAATTGCATTTTTGTGATATACAAATCGTACTTGAGTCATTGATCACCAAACAAAACACAATACGAAGAAATGTTGAGATAGGCAACGGAAATGTGAGATAAACTGATATGTTTCTAAATATTAAATTGCATTTTTGTGTTATACAAATCGTACTTGAGTCATTGATCACCAAACAAAACACAATACGAAGAAATGTTGAGATAGGCAACGGAAATGTGAGATAAACTGGTTGACGCATAAAGTAATTATCAACTCATTACGGAAATACTTTAGATTAGAATTTTTACGTACTGGTGGTATATAAGACCAACAAACGCAGTCATCGAGTTAGTGTACGGTCGTTTGGCTACAGTGGATCTATCAATAGTACATTTGTGTTACTTCAATACACCAAAGGCTATGGATGTAAGTGTTTATTCTATTGACTAAATTACTTTTTTTCTGTTATTTTCATGTGTGTGTATTATTTTATTTAAATATTGTGTATGCATATGATTAAGCCGTGGTAACTCAGATGGTTAGCGCTAGCTGTAAATTTCACAGTACGCGACCCGGGTTCGATCCCCGCCAGCACCAATTAAATTGTTAATAGCAATTTTAAGTGCTTATTACCACGTGCTTGGTGGTGAAGGAAAACATCGTGAGGAAACCTGCATGTCTGAGAAAATTTCGAAGGCATGTGAAGTTCGCCAACACACATTGAGGGAGCGCGGCGGACATTTCCTTGCTCTAAAACCCTCTCAGAAATGAGAGGAGGCCTATGTTCAGCAGTGGACTTTAATAGGCTGTAACTTTAACTTTTTTAACTTTTATGATTAAGTGTTAACAAATTGATATTAACATGATAACTGTGTTGTTGCAGAAATCATTGAGCTTCGATGAAGATACCTATAAACAGTATTACTACTCGCCACTCTCCCCTCAAGAAGAGAGTGATAACCTCGTCATTAATAATAACACATGCGATGGTGGAAAAAGAAAATCGCAATCGATTGATCATTTTTTTGAAGCTGAATCAAAAATAAAAAAGAGGAAGGGAAAACTTCAGTGAAGTGTGCACCAGTGCTTTTTTCTCCACAATCATGGAAGAGAATACGGAACTATTCAATAGCGAATTAAATCAGGAGTTGTCTAAAGTTTGTGAAGAAATGGAGAGGGGTCAACTGTTCGATTCGTCATACGATGATGAGTTGTATCATCACTGTGCGATGGTTGAAACACAGTTTAAGTATGTAAAATAAACATTCATTTCGATCATAATTTACATATTGTCTTATACAGTTTTTAATAAATTTAAACATTTTAGCAGTCAACCACTACAACTTGGAAGAGGAACGAAGCGAACGTGCAGCAAAGAATCCAAGATCATCAAAAAACCAACAACGGAAGCAGAAGCGCATACCTCTGCAGGGAACAGTATCAGTAACGATGATCAAGTGGAATGTCCAACGTGCCATATATTTATCAAGAAACGGTATTTAGCTAATCATTTTAAAAGTAATGTTCATAAAAATAATCTTTTAAATTCACATAATTCTTTATCAAACGTTAGTGTTATTGAATCTGCTTTTGGAAATAGGATTTTAACTTATAAAATCAAGAGTAGAGTAGATCGTTCGACATGGGTAAATTTTGAAACTCCTGAACTATTTTTAAATTCTATTAAAGATGATATTTTTTTTTTATTACAAGAGTGTATTCATCAACACATAATTTTTAAGGTAAACTTCATATTGCATGCTGATTTTGTTCAACAAACTAAAGATATTCATGATACGTTCGATTTTCAAACGCTTAACTATATTATTTGTCAAGGAGATGACTTAAATATTTTTCTTTCATCTTTAAATGATACAATTACTACTAAAATTAGTGCTTTCGAAAAAAAAGATAGTGGATGGAGTCTAAAAAACATAAAATCTATAGACATGAATGTTAATAAATTTAACCCCCTACGCGGTACTTCATACATAGATCTTCTTCGTGACATAAAATTAAAAAAGGCTGTTATAAATGTAAAAAACAAGGATTATTTTTGTTTTAAATGGGCGTTACTCTCGGCGTTATATCCTGTAAACAAACACACCGATCGGGTATCATCGTACGTTAAACATGCAAATAAACTTAAATTTGATGGTATTTCCTTTCCGGTTAAAATTTCTGACATAGCAAAAGTAGAGAAATTAAATGATATTAGTATTAATGTTTTTGGGTTAGAATATAATAAAGAAAAACGATGTAATTCTATAGTAGGTCCATTATTTTTAACAAAGTGTCGTAAAGATAGACATATCAATTTATTATTTTTTTCCAAGGATACAAAAAATCATTATTGCTATATAAAAAATTTATCGCGGTTAGTTAGTAAACAAATTTCAAAAGACGGTCACATCATGTACATTTGTGAAGCATGTCTACTTCGTTTTCCATCTCAGGAAAGGTTAAATAACCATGAACAATACGATTGTGCTCACATTTGTACAGTATTACCAAACAGTGAAACTTTAAAAAAAAAAGAATTGGTTTGGTCAACCTATTTCAAATGATAAAATTAAATTTGATAGTTATGAAAAAAAGTTAAAGATACCATTCGTAGTTTATGCTGATTTTGAAGCATTTTTAAAACCAATAGAATCATGTTCTAACGATCCTTCCAAACCTTTCACTCATAATATTCAGAAACATGAAGTACATAGTTTTGGATATTATATAAAATGTTCATATGATGATCAATTATCAAAATATGTAACATATTGCGGATCCAACTGTGCATAAGTGTTTATGGAAAGTTTATCTAACAATCTAAAAGAAATAAATAGACTTCAAAAATATCCACCACTTCCGCTAACAAATGAAGACAAAAACCAAATTTCAAATGCAACCATTTGTCATATTTGTGAAACTGAGTTGGCAAAACATTTTTATGATTTTGATTGGTACACTGGTAGTTTTATAGGTGTTGCTCATGAATCATGTTGTTCGAAGATCAGAACACCTAGTTATATACCAATATTTTTACACAACCTTAGTCACTATGATGCTCATTTTATTGTTCACGCGTTAAACTTTTGTGATGGTGAAGTCGAAGTTATCCCTCAAAATAAAGAAAAATATATATCCTTTTCCAAAAAATTAAAAGTGAATAACCACGAAATTATATTGAGATTCTTAGATTCATTTAAGTTTTTATCGTGTAAATTAGAAGAATTGGCCAAAAATCTCAGTAATGATCAATTTCAAGAATTACGTAGAAATTACCCTAATGATGAAGATTTCTTTCGTTTAAAACGGAAAGGTGTTTATCCATATGAACTTATGACTAATTATGATAGTTTAAGTCTAACATCGCTCCCTGAACAAAAATGTTTTTATAGTTCACTCACAGATTCACATATTTCAAATGATGATTACAATCATGCTAAAGATGTTTGGGAACATTTTGGGTGTTGTAATATGCTCGATTATTCAAACCTATATTTAAAAACAGACGTTTTACTTTTATCCGATGTATTTGAAAACTTTAGAAAGTTATGTATTAATACATATGATTTAGACCCTGTCCATTATTACACAGCACCCGGTTTAAGTTGGGATGCAATGTTAAAATATTCAAAAATAGAATTAGAACTTTTAACAGATTATGAGAAAATTGCATTTATTAGATCAGGTATCAGAGGTGGTGTATCTCAATGTAGTAATCGTTATGCTAGAGCTAATAACAAATACATGGAGGATTATGATACAGGGAAACCAAATTCATATATCACATATTTTGATGCCAACAATTTATATGGTTGGGCTATGTCTCAATATCTTCCTACTGGTGGATTCGAATGGGTAAATCCAAATACAGAATTTAATGTGTCTAAGACATCAGACTTCGGTTTTATTTTAGAAGTTGATTTGGAATATCCAGATGAACTTCATGATTTACATTCGGACTTTCCTTTATGTCCAGAAAACATTTGTGTAGGCAATATTAATGAGAATAAACTAGTCCCAAATTTAAATAATAAAGATAAATATGTAATTCATTACAGAAATTTAAAGCAGTGCATAGAAATGGGGGTTAAATTAACTAAAATTCATAGAGTTTTAAAATTTAAACAGTCTCCCTGGTTGAAGATGTACATAGATCTAAACACAAAATTAAGAACTTTAGCAAAATCAGATTTCGAAAAAGATTTTTATAAATTAATGAATAATTCAGTCTTCGGTAAGACTATGGAGAATATTGAAAAAAGGGTTAACATAAAATTAGTTACGCACTGGGAGAACCAGGGTAAAGCTTTAGGTGCTCAAGATCTAATCGCTAAACCACAATTTCATAGCCTTTCAATATTTTCGGAAAACCTAGTTGCGGTTCAGTTGCGAAAAACGAAGTTAATATATAACAAACCAATTTATTTAGGGTTTTGCATTTTAGATATTTCAAAAACATTAATGTATGATTTTCATTATAACTATATGATTAAAAAGTTTAGTAAAATCAAATTATTGTATACAGATACGGATAGTTTAATATATCATATATTTACAAATGATTTTTACACTGATATAAAACCTGACCTTTCATCATACTTTGATACCTCAGATTATGATACAAATAATATTTTTGAATATCCAAAATTAAATAAAAAGAAATTAGGTTTTTTTAAAGATGAAAATAATGGTAAAATCATGAAAGAATTTGTGGGTTTACGATCCAAAATGTACGCTTTTAACTTAGAGAATAAGACTATAGCCAAGGCAAAAGGGGTAAATAAATGTATCACTAAAAAGATGACAATGAATAGTTATAAGTCTTCTCTATTTAATAAAAAAGTGCAATATTATAGTAGGCTTAGATTTAAATCAATTAAACACACAATTTTCACACAAAAATTAAATAAGATAGGTTTATCATATAATGACACAAAGAGACATATTTTAGATAATAATATTGAAACATTAGCTTGGGGTCATTATAAACTGCGTTAAGTGTTGATAGTTTTTACTTTTATGTCTGCGTTTAAGAAAAATTTATATTGATTGTAAAATTATGATAATACTATAATATGACGTAGTTTATTACATATTTAAACATTGTTTTATTGTAAATAATTTAAGTTAATTGTTGTTTCTATTTATTTGAGGTTGAGTTAATTGTAAAATTATGATGTACTAATTGTTGTTTCTATTTATTTGAGGTTGAGTTAATTGCAAAATTATGATGTACTAATTGTTGTTTCTATTTATTTGAGGTTGAGTTAATTGTAAAATTATGATGTACTAATTGTGTTAGAAATAGTATACAGATAATTCTGTTTTATATAATTTTTGGAATATATATTAATTGTTTACACCAACACTTTCATTTTTTATTTCACCCCTTTGAACTTTAGACGTGTGTTATGTTTCACTTTATCCATCCGTTCACTGCTATTGTGGCAGGACCAAGTGGGTGTGGGAAGTCAAATTTTGTAACAAATTTCATAAAATCAGTTACAGAAATATGTAATTGTGATTTTAATCAGATCACATGGTGCTTTGATGAAATGCAACCATTATATAATTTACCAAATGTTAACTATCATCAAGGAATTCCAAATCTTAATATGTTTGATGGTGAAAACCCACATCTTGTTATTATTGATGATCTAATGAGAGAGTCCGATGGAAGAATTGTGGATATATTTACAAAAGGTAGTCATCACAGGAATCTTAGTGTATTTTATCTAACACAAAATTTATTTCATCAGGGTAAAGGACAAAGAGACATATCTTTAAACTCAAGTTATATAATATATTTTAAAAACCCTCGAGATAAAACTCAAATAAGATATTTAGCAAGACAAGTATCACCAGATAACCCAAAATTCATTGAAAATGCCTACAGGGATGCAACTCTAGAGGCGCATGGATATTTAATGGTAGATTTAAAACAGAATACCAATGATTTTTGTCGTATCAAGACAAATGTCTTTCCATTTAATGGTTTCTGTACAGTCTACGTCCCCACAAAAGAGTTTAAATACACCAAGAATCAAACAATTGAAATCATTGCTAAATGATGCATCGTCGACTCACAACGTATAAACATTTGCTAACCGCTTTGCATACGCTTAAACCAAAATATCAAAGAGCATTACTTAAAACGTGTGATGAAGAAGAAATTAACTGTATTTGTGAGTGTATTCATAACGTTTTACAAGGAAAAGTACCTCTTAAAGATCAGGATAAACAAAAATTGAATAAACATAAAAACATACTCCGTAAACTAGTACGTAAGTGTAAACATAAACTAAGAAAAAATATAATTATACAAAAAGGAGGGGCTTTCTTACCAACAATATTAGGTGCAATATTGAGTGGATTAGTGAGTGGACTAGCCAGTTAACATGGAAAATGCAAAGAAAATGATACTTATCGAACCTGGATTGATTGAAAAATTAAAACAAGAAAATAAGGTTAATAGTAATTTATCTCGATTAGATATTGAAATGCAAAATATTATGAATAGTAAGACGGAAGACCGAAAGAAATGGATATTATATTTACAAACACTGCAAAGATACCTTCATTTTACCGAAGAGGATCGTCAACCACTCAAATTACCAATTTATTCTGATACATCTAATGAAGATTCAAATGAGTCAAAAATTGGTTTTAAAAATAAAGATAGAGATCTAAAAACTTCAGTTGATATTGAATCTTTGCTGGAGGAGAATCGATCCATTAAAAGTAAAGAAAATGATGAAAATCCACTTTACACACCAGCTCAAATACTCAGTTTAATACCAAAAACTTATCATAAAAAAGGGCAGTTATTATTAAACTTAGTTGAAACAAGTAAAAGTAAAATACATTGGGATAACGAAGGTACAGTCATAATTGATAGTGAAAAAATTCCTGGAAGTAATATTGTTGATTTAATAAATGATTCACTAAGACCCCTAAAAAGAAGTGATCCGGTAGGGTGGGTTAGATTTGCTGAAGCATTAAAAGATATTAAAGTACCACTTACTTATATTGGAAATCCAAGGAGATGTGAGTTTATTAACCAACTTCAAGCAAAAGATCTGAACAAACCCTCTGAGATTGAAGTTCAAGAGTTTTCTACACCGTGCAGTAGAGATAAAAAGTCTACAACTAAAATACGTAAAGGACTTGAGTGGGAAAAATGGACTCCGTACTAGAAGAAATTAACAGGATTTATTATGATCCATCTAATCCCGCTGGTTTTGGTAGTATTGATAAATTATCAAAAGCCATGAAGGGTAAAATGAATAAAAAGCAAGTAAAGGAATGGTTAAAATCACAAGAAACATACACATTACATAAACCCATTCGAAAAAAATTCCCGCGTAATAGGTACATTCTATCAAATATTAATGAACTGTGGCAAGTTGATTTAAGTGATATGCGAACTTATTCTCAATATAATGATGGTTTCAAGTATATACTTTGTATTATTGATGTATTTAGTAAATATGCTTTTGCAAGACCAATGAAAAAGAAAAACTCAGAAACAACTAAAGAATGTTTTGAAAGTATATTTACTGAAAGTAATTTAACACCTACTCACATACAATCCGATAAAGGTACAGAATTTGTTTCAAAAGATGTACAAAAATACTTTAAATCCAAAAAGATTAATTACTATACCACTAACAATCCTGACATTAAGGCCAGTATTGTTGAACGATTTCAAAGAACACTAAAAATGAAAATGTGGCGTTATTTCACTCATAATAATACTTATAGATATATAGATGTTTTACAAGATTTAATATACTCTTATAATCACAGCTTTCACTCTAGTATTAAGATGTGCCCATGTGATGTAAATTCCAACAATATTATGACAGTTTGGACTAATCTTTATGATAGACGGTCAAAAAAACTTTCTTTAGAAAATCCTAAACCAAATTTCAATGTGGGTGATTATGTTCGAATAACTAAATATAAACATGTATTCCAAAAAGGATATGAATCAAATTGGAGTGATGAAATATTTATTATATCTTCAATAATTGATAGATCTCCATGGGTTGTTTATACAATAACAGATTTACAAAATGAACCAATAATTGGTACTTTTTATGAAAGAGAATTACAGAAAATCACTTACAACCCCACCTCACAACATAAAATAGATAAAATAATTGACACTCGTTATTCAGGTAACAGAAAAGAAGTATTAGTGAAGTGGAAAGGTTATCCAGATAAATTTAACAGTTGGATTTTAGCTTCTAGTTTAAAAGAAATATGAATAAAGAAAGTTTCTATTTAACTTTGCTCAGCAATAGTTCAATGGAATACTTTCCTGATAACAAGACCACAAATTTTTCAACGAAATTACCAAAAGCTATAAAATTAGAAGGTGAATGGTCGGTTGGAGTTGTCGAGTTTCAATATCCATGTACCATGTTTACTGTTCAAGACCATGAAAATGTTATATACATTACAAAATCTATGTTAATGCCTAATGAAGATAAACCATCCACAGTGTACTACAAAAAACATATTCCAGCTACCAACTATGATAACGTTGAGCATATTTTAAGAGTGTTAAATGGTATCGGAGAGAACTTGAAATTTCGCTATGATGAAATAACAAAATTTGTGTCTATTTCGGTATTGGATAAAAATATAACATCCGTAACATTATCACCCAAATTAAGTTTACAGCTAGGTTATGAACCAAATAAAAATCTCCTAGAGAGAAATTTTGGAAAGTGTCCTGCTAATTTACACTTAGGGTTACCATCTCAACTATTTCTATATTGCGACATTATCGATCCTTAGATTGTGGGTGATGTTATGACTCCTTTATTAAGAGTCATTTCATTAGATCCTACAAAATACATTTATGGTGCAAATAAAATGCACGTTTTCTCTCAACCTCACTACTTACCTGTTATGCGAAGAGAGTTCGATACGTTGGAAATAGTTATAAGATCGAGTACAGGACAAAAAATACCATTCCAGTTTGGAACCGTGTGTATTAAACTACATTTCCGAAAATTATAATAATGAATTCTCTTCGTGATCATCATAAATGTCCATATGAAAATTATTATACACATCAAGCTGGATCAGGAGTTGGAGTAATTTATAAGGGTTCACCATATCAACGCGGTCATGGTATTGGGAGCTTCTTAGGGGGGTTATTCAGATCAGTTTTACCTTTACTTTCAAGTGGTGCTCGAGTGATTGGTAAGGAGGCATTAAGCGCTGGAGTAGGACTTTTATCGGATATGGTTCAAGCCCGTCCTATGGAAGCCTCAATAAAAGATCGTCTAAAGCAAGTTAGTACGAATTTAAAACGAAAGGCTGATGAGAAAATTGATCAATTTAACATGACTGGATCTGGGTATAAAACTAAAAGAAAACGATTGACATCGTTCATTCCACCATTAACTGCTAAAGTGAAAGCTGCGAAAAAACTTAGTCTAAAACCAAAAAATATCAAAGATATATTTTCAAACTAAATATGTCTTTCCTTCATAATCATTCTTGCGAGTGCGTTAAGTCAGAATTGGATTTGTTTGCACTACCGTCTACACAAACTAGCATTGAAAATGGATTGTGGATTCATTATAAACCAATTTCATCTCTTGGTGATGATGGACCTATCGAGTTTCAAGTTCCTGGGACCGGCGATGACTACATAGATTTGTCTCATACATTACTCCACATAAAGGCAAAAGTATTAAATCAAGATTCAACTAACTTGGTATCTACTACAATAGTAGCACCTGTAAATAATTGGCTGCATTCACTTTTTAGTCAACTTGATGTTTATTTAAACCAAAAACTTGTATCACCACCTAATAATACCTATGCATATCGAGCATACATGGAAACCCTTTTAAACTATGCCCCTGCTGCTAAACAATCTCATCTTACTTGTAGTCTTTGGTATGAGGATACAGCAGGAAAAATGGATTCTACAGATGGTAAAAACATAGGATTTGTTAAAAGACAGGAATTGATTAGTGAAAGTAAGGAAATAGAAATGATTGGTCATCTTCACGGTGACATTTTTAACCAAGATAAATTTTTAATTAATGGTGTTGAAATGAGTGTTAAATTGGTTCGATCAAGAGAGAGTTTTAATTTAATTGTTGGATCAAACGATGTAAAGTTTAAAGTTTGTATTACGGACGCAACTCTTATTGTTCGACGAGCACGAATTAATCCAAGTGTATTACTCGCACATCAAAAAGTTTTAGCTTCTACCACTGCTAAATATCCTATTACTCGAGCTGAAGTAAAAGTTTTAACAATTCCTTCGGGTGTTCAAGGAAAAACTCTTGATAATATATTTTTAGGACAGGTACCGAAAAGATGTATAATTGGATTTGTGAACAATTCTGCATTTAATGGTTCCCTTACTAAAAATCCATTTAACTTTGAAAACTATGGTATTAATTCTTTCAGCTTATATATTGATGGTCAACAAATACCTTCAAAAGCTTTGCAACCATCTTTTAATAATAGCATATTTACATCAGCATATCATACTCTATTCTCGGGAACTGGTATTCACTTTCTTAATGAAGGAAATGGAATCTCTTGTGAACAGTATGGCAAAGGTTACTGTCTATTAGCATTTGACTTAACTCCTGATTTATCAGCTAACTCATCAACTCATTGGAATCTCATAAAGCATGGTAGTGTAAGAATAGAAGTACGATTTGAATCCTCATTAATACAAACAATTAACTGTATAGTTTATGCTGAGTTTGATAATATTATTGAGATAGATAAAAACAGAAATGTTACTGTAGACTATAGTAGTTAAGGTTATAATATGTGTTGTGTGTTAGATTTTATGTGTTATGTGTAATGCATTTTGTGTGTATGTAACTATGTGAAACGTTATAAAATTAAATAAAACAAATTGTATGCAATATATTTTTTTTATTTCTTTATAAATCTTCTATTTAATCTAATACAAAACACTGTTCGAGTTGAAATTTTACATAAGCACACTGACTAAACCACTGAACATGCTGCTGCCAAGGATCATCATCATCTTCCCAATCTTTTAAACCACCACCACAATGGAAACACTTGGTCCCGTCTGCATGGCCAGTATAAAAGAAACCAGCTTCTGCAAGATCTTCAGGTTTCTGTCGCATAACTAGAGGCCAGTTTTCGAAACTAAGCAAACGGCTAGATTTTGAACTGAAGAATGGATATTCAGCTCTTGAGTACTGCATACTCTTC